TCAAAAAAAAAAAATAAATATAAAAACACAAACGTAAACAACACCATTTCCGTTACCCATACACACTCTCCACCAACAACAATATAAAAAAAACATGTTGCAACATAAATAAATTCTTTAACGCGCAGCTCACTAATGAAATGCTCAAAACATGTCAACGGCAACATAGTTAAACGCCAGGTAGCGTCTGCAACATTACCTAAAGTACGCTAATTGCAACGAAAAATAAATAAAAGTGAATGTCAGTTGTAGTGATTGCCACAACTAGTGCAACAAGTGTTCGGAAAGCCGGCCAAACAACTTCAAGCAACATTTAACAATACACACCCACACTCATCACTGAAAAGCACAATGGCCTCTCTACATGCCACCAATTCATGCAGCAGCAGCAGCTGCAGTACCGCTCTGACCAACAATAAGCCGTTAACACCAACAAAAAACACAGTTAAACTATTGAATGGCAAAAGTTGCAGTGATTGTGGTGTTGTTGCTACCACAAATGCGCCAACCAACAATAACAACAGTAGTAAAAGTTACAACAATTTGAGCAGCAATGTTGAGCAGCTTTTCAATTCCGCTTTGAAGGCATTACATTTGCCACAATGTGTTGGTGGTGGCACGGCGGACAGTGGTGTTGGCGGCGGTGGCGGCAAGAAATCGCCTGGCAAAGTGAAAACAAATGGTGAAAATAAGTTGACATTGGTGGTGCAGAAGTGTGCGAAGAACATTGACATTGCCGCTGCAACGGCGGCGGATAATGATGACATTGACTATGAGCAGCACGATTTGGCGGCGCAGGAGGCGCAATCAGACGCTGACAGTGTACAACTGCGCTGCGCCTGCCCGGCTGTCCATGCAACTAGCACAGATGCGAATAATGTGAATAATAAGAATAGAACCATGACAGTTACGACCACTTTTCGCAGCAGCAGCACATCGGCGCTCATGACGGCGGGTCATATGCGACCACAAACGTTGAATGTGCACCATTTGCGCGAGACGCCATCGGATCAAACGCAGATTTTCATACGGTATGTTAAACAAAGTTATTATTTTTATACTTTTTTTTTAGTGGAGAAATAAGTTTTTTTAAAATAAAATTTTATTTTTTCTAATTTTATATTTTTTTTATTTGTTATTTGAGCCCATTCGCTTTATCTTTTTGAAAAACTGTGTAGAATTACTACTCTAAAATATTATTTATTTTTGATATCAGTTGAATGCAATTTGAATATTTAAAATGTATTATTTTCACTGTTTTCGAAGAAAGTTAAAAACGTCGTTGCCTACATTTAGGCTGTCAGCATCAAAATAATTTTTTGCTCAGATTTTTACAACCAACTTTAAAGTAAGGCTGTTTACCATGATATAAAAATTATGTTTTTAATTTTCATTAAAGGTATTGCCTACATTTGGGCTGTTGGCATCAAAACTGGTGTTTGAACCGATTTTGATATTAATTTTGTTTTATAATACCGTTATTTTAATATTTTAAATGTAATTTTTTCTCACTTCACTGTTTTCTAAGAAACTTAAAAACAGCGCTGCCTACATTTAGGATGTCAGCATGAAAAACAGTGTTTGTACAGATTTTTACAACCAATTTTATAGTGACGCTCTTTCCGATTGAAAGAAATATTACTTATTTAATTTTTATCAAAAATTTTTGCCTTTATTTAGGCTGTCGGCATCAAAATCGTGTCTTGGACAGATGTGGTATTAATTATTTTTATAAAATCGCTATTTTTTTAGCCGATATAACAAATATTTATGTAATTTTGTGTATTAAAAACTCAAAGTTATCGATTATTAACAATTGAGTAATCGCTAGCCTGTGTGTATACTTTAATCAAAGTTGCTGGTGTGTTATTCGGTTCATTTCTTACAATATATAAATGAAGAGATTTTTAGCATTACTTCTAGATTAAAAAAACCTTCAAATTCTCCTGGTCGATAATTTATGTTTTATGCTTGTGATAGTCTTATCTGACTAGATATGATCGTTTTTATTCAAATTAAGGCTTAACATCTGCAGTGATATCATTTAAAACTCAATTAGCTCGATAATGCTTATTCGTAGGTTGGAAACATTTGAAATTCGCTGCTAGAATATTTAGAATGTACTCAAGATTTCCAGATTTTTTGTTTGAGTTTTCCAAAAGTTGGGAAAGTCTTGTCTGGAAAACTCAAAGTATGACTTTTAGAGATCAGTCCTCGTTATTTTGGATAAGACAATGAGAGGTGACTAAAAACTTTGCTCGTGAGCGGTCGATACTTTTTATCGAAAATATATTAAAAGCACCTGAAAAATGCTACATATTGAATGTTGGGCGAGATTTAAGTGTAACTGGTAGGCTCATTTATTGACAATATTATATATGTGACCTGGTCTACGGAAAGGGGGCTTAGGTGTCAAAAAATCTTAGCTGATTCGGATGGAAGATGAGATGCTTTTTCACGTGATAGAATCGAAAAAGTCGTAAACTAGTTTTCGCACGTTAGCTCCCTTTTCGTAGACCAGGTCAAATATATATAATTTGTGTTGTTGGTTGCTTATGAATATCTAGAAAACGCTATTATTGATTAATGTTGATATTTATTGATTGTCTTGCTGTTGTAGTTGTGGATAACTTGTTAAAAAAGATAAAAAAATCACGACGTAACCAAGGTTTTACTCAGACTATCAAGACTAAATGTATTTTTTCTTTATTAAATACAAAATTTAACAATTTCTGTGTCTTCACTTTCCCGTTTCATGGGCACTCAACCGTACTGGCTATAATTCTTACACTCATCATATATTTGCTTCCTTTAGTTATTCTGATTTTTTTTTTTTGTAAATTTTTTATTAATTTCATTT